ATTAACACACTTTTTACAAAGGCCGAAGGATAGGGAGACACTCTAACTAGATCAAACCCTAGAGAGAAGGAAGATCCTGGAGAGAGAGGCTCTCAAAAACGATTTTGAGAAAGTAGGAGAGAGAGAGGAAATGTAAAAAGTGATTCAAAATTACCCAGCTGCCCACTGATATACGACACTCCCGCTCGAACGGATAATAGAATGCTCGAGCGTCAAGCACAAAAATCTGGACACTCTCGAGCGCAAGAAAGCCCGCTCGAGTTCCAAGACACAAGGATAAAGTACATCCGCTCGAGCGCGAAAACCAATCCGCTCGAGCGTAGATTCCCCCCTCCCAGAACTTTCATAGACAAAGCACTACCCGCTCGAGCGCCAACATACCCGTTCGAGCTCGACCCGCTCGAGCGTGAAAAACACACCTGCAAAAGTTTTACAGGGACACGAGATACTGGAAGTGTGTAAATCCCGCTCGAGCGCAAGGAGGCCCGCTCGAGCAGACAACCAAAAACTAAACTCCACTCGAGCGCAGAATGATCTGCTCGAGCGTAACACCAAAAACCTGGGCAACTACACTTGAGACCAAAATTCAATCTACCTGAACACGCCTAATACATTCTATAACTCAAATACAAAGTACGAAAGGATGTAAACAAGATATAAACAACTGCTACCATTCACGGAATCAAGTCTGGATCACTGTACAACAAGAGGTAAAACCCGGAATCGCTATAGCCCACATTTTGTAAGTTGTCTGAATCACCAGTGCAACTCTTTTCTGTCAGTTACTCGTGATTGTTACATTTTTATTTTCGGATGACTACTGTGTATAAATATGAACGATTAGATGTAACATTGCCCTTTTATTAATAGTACATGAGACTCATTTAAAGAAGGTTTGATATAAAAGATTGTAGAGGGATTGGAATTAGAAATTAAGTCAGAAGATTAGTGAATTTTTAAATAAAATTTATATTTTTAGAACAAAAAAATACTATTTATAATATTATTAATTTGATAGTATATAAATAAATATTTTTTATCTTACAAATCTAATTTAATAATACTATACTAATAATGTTCTTACTCAATTTCACCCTACACTTAATCCTACATGTAAACGAAACAAACGTGGCCTATGACCGTCCTAATCCGAATCAAATGCCCATGTGCTAAGCCATTGTCAAGTAGTGTCCAATATGAGAAAAATTATTTGGTGCAGTACCACTCGCCCAAACACCGACCCTGTTTGGTAAAGTTTATTTTCAATTTATTTTAGTTTTTAATTTAATTTAAATTATTTTAATGTGTTTGGTTCAACTTAACAATACAGGTTGTAACTTTTTGTAAGTCAAAAATCAACTTATCCTTTGAGTGGGGGAGGAGAAACTTAATTTATAAGTAAAAAATCAGCTTATGTTCATAGTTATAAGCTATTAAGTTATAAGTTATAATCACTTTCCCACAGCTCTACCAAACGGAGCCACCATGTCATCTGATGTTCTCCCATGATTCATTCTCCATTAATTATAATATTTTATTTTTAAAACACCATGTGATCATTATTCAAGATCACTAAAATAATTCTTCCAATTTGAATGTGATTAATTTAGATAATAAAATGTTAAATTTTTGAAAACAAGATGATAGATAAATGGATTGTTAATGAAGTATGACTCAAATGCAATGAGAAATTATTCAAACTTAATTCAAAATTTTTTAGAGTTGTTTAAATTCAATCTAAGCTAGGTTCAAGCTAAACATAAACTTTAGTCTTCTTCCTTCTTTTAATTTCTTTTTTTTTACATGTATATGTTTGTGAGTGCAATTAATTTATTAAATTTAGATTCTATTAATATTTTTTTCATAAAATCATTAAATAACATTATTTTCTTTTAATTTGCATTGAACCAACCTCATTAAATGAGATTAATTATAAATAAATAAAAAACTAAAAACTTCTCTTTACCAATTTCAAGAAAGTGCTTGCACCGCTGCAAAAATCCAACGGTTGCAAACACATTTGTCATGGAAAACAAGAAAGCAACAAGAACACGTTTCAATGTCGGCTTGGACCGCGACGAGGACTAGAAGATCAAGAGCTCAGCACCGAATCCGTGGCTATGGCTCTCAGTTTGAAGCTAGATTCCCACTCGTTATGGGTTTTGAGATTGCTCCTTGCAAACCTCCATTGATGACCAAGGAACAACCTAAACCTATTTGTGCAGGCAAGGTGTTCGATGAATTGTCATATGCTTTGGACTGTGAAGAAAAGAGTTGAGAACCCATCGTCCATACAAACGATTCGTTTGTCTGAAGACGACCAGCTTCTTATCCTTCAGTTTTGACTACCTAATTGAGAGGCTCAAGTCTTTATTCTGGACTCGTTGTTCATGGCATTGATCTGGGTTATGGTTTTTACCTCGTCTAATTCCAAGATCAGTCCGATATGCTTAACGTTCTAACTGGAGGTCCTTGGTTTTTAGGATCCCATTTCATCATGATTCGTAAATGGGTACCTGAGTTTAAACCCTCAAAAGCTGAGATTGATACTTGGGTTGTTATCTGGGCAGGACTATCAGAGCTTTCTATGATAGTACCATCCTGCATAAAATTGGCAATAAGTTGGGTAAACTCATTAGCTGATATAAAATTGATGGCATAATTAGGTGATTTATCCTTTTTATGGAGACCACGGACAGCCAACAAGGTGGCACATTGGGTGGCCCTTCACCATCTTCCGAATAGCCTCCCTCTTGATTGGGTTGCTAACCCACCACCTGGGCTTGTGGCATGACTAGCTTTTGCTTTGTAGTTTTTTTCTTGTATTGTTCGCTGTTAAAAAAAAAATGAAAAGAAAAAAATAAGTTGGGTAAACTCATTAGAATTGATCTTAATACAGAGAACAGTGAAAGACATAGATTCGCAAGACTCTGTGTTCAAGTTGTCCTCAACAAGCCCTTTTCTGTGGTTAAGATTGGGTGTCTTATTCAAAAGGTGTCCTATGAGGGTCTTCCCTGTGCCTGCTTCAACTGTGGAGTGATAGGACACAGACATAAGGAATGTTTGGCAGCTATCGAGAAATGAAACCATGTAGTAGACTCTCCATCCACAACAGAGAATTCATCTTCTTTGTTGGCGAATCACGAACCGCAGTTTGGACCTTGGATGATTGTTCAAAGAAAGAAATCTTGTGATAAGGGCAAGACAAACCTTAATTCCCCAGGTGTGGAAGAAAAAGATGAGACCCCCTCTGCTACATCTGTCCACCCTGAACCTTCCTTAGACCCAATGTCCAACGCCATCTTATCTTGAGATGGAGGGATGAAAAGCAGCAAGATTATCACAAGTGACAAAGTGGGTTGTAAGACCGATATCTGTGCTATAAAGAGTGGGATTTCAATCACCCAGTCTTCCATTAGCAGGACTCATCCAAACTTGCTTCCAAATTCCCCAAGTGTGCCTTAAACGTTCAAAGAGGTGTCCATGTAAGTGGCCCATTAAAGAGGGCGTTTGGTGACAGAAGTATTCAAGCCGTGGTGGATTCCTCTCACTGTAACATGGGTCTATGTAAGGATAAGAAAGGAGACACTGTGTTAGATTCTTGTGTTCCAGAGAGTCATAATAGGGAGGGGATTGTTTTAAGGTTCAAAAATAAAATCAAAGGAGAGGCAGAGTAATAAAGCTTTGGTGGTCAATGAGAAGGTCTTGGAAAACAAGGAGGAATGAGGTTCTCCAATGAGGGAAAATTTTCAATTTCCTCCATTAAATGAGGTGCGATCTTACCAGATGGCGGATGTTACTGATGGTGTTGTTCAGGGAGGAAAATTGAAATTAAAAAGTAATGGCAAGGTGACGGTTGAAGAAATCATTCGGGCTCGTTAGCAGAAGTAGGGCACAAGGAGGCAGCTTGAAAAGGAAAATGGAAAAGAAGTTAATTACAGAGTTGATAAGTAAAATGCAGAGTTAGAAGCTCTAGATGATTTAATGATTGAAAAAATGGGGCCATCAGCACAAGTATAAGAGGCAAACGAAGCAGCACATGTTTGTTCTCGTTGTTCAATTAATACCGGTTGTATTCGCCTTATCCCTACAACCAAAGGTGCGCAACTTGAGTTTGATGCATTGGTAGAATGAAAAGATCAAAATTACATTGGAAATTTTTAATTTTTTCAAGGTGTTTGAATCAGAGAGGAGGTTATGTCGTATTCATGATTGATGACTTTTGCTGTATGAGGTTCAAAAGGGTATTTGTAGCTGATGCAATCTTTGATAAAAGAGTCTTAAGATTCACTTTGTGACATGAAGATCACGTGCAGAAGTGAGAATGGCTACAACAACTGATAATATTGTTTTGCTAATGAAATTGGTTGTTGGTGTGCGCTGTTATTGTGTTGATGGTGAGCTGTTTTGAGTTGTGTTACTGCTGTGTTGCTGAGGTGATTTGCTGTTTTGAAGTGTTGCTCTATGTTCTTCCGCTGCTTCTTGATCTTTAGCGATTGATGTTCATTTGAGTGTTCTTATTTTGACGTTTAAAGGATGTAGCTGCGAATGGGAGCAGTTTTGGCTTGCAATCTGACACTAGTACCTAATGTTGTCAATTTTTGAGTTCATGAATCAGGAGAATTCTATTTTTGTTTCTGCTGTTGCTTTTTGTTAGTGCCTTGCCAACATTTCCCTCTCTTGGGGGTAAGATTTTCTATATGATTTGCTATAGGTTTGTGCCAGCCTAATTGGAATATTCTCTCTGACTTTGATGCTCTCTTTTTCTTACTTCTTATTATCTCAATGTACTTCATAGTTAACCTCATTATCGAGATTGGCTCATTTACTTTAGAGACTCCATCGCATGGGTTTTTTTACTGGTTGTGCTTGAATTGTGATCCTCGGTAATAATTCTATAAAGATCATCTATCCTATTTTTCACTCTTTTGTTGTGTCACTAGTCCTTTGCTTCATAGGTCATGTTCAAAATAAGTTTTGCTCTAGCAGAATTTTCTCTCTTTTTTTTTTTTCTTTTTTTTTTCTTTACCACTTAGTTTTGCTGATACACTTTTTGAAAGCTATTAACTGCTGATGCCATTTGGGGATTTAAGGATTTCCTGAAACATTATCTTGTACAATGAATCTCAAGAACAGACCATTGCTTAGGCAATTTGAAGTCGTACTCGGTCCAAGCAGGATTTTCGACCAAGCTGGTTGCTTTGTTGAAGTTCCAAATAGTCTCTGTATTTCATTGGAATGTATGCAGGGAGATGGTGCCCTTCGTCGTCTTCTACCAACTCTGGAGCTGGGCTGACAATGGTGTTGAGCGATGGTCCACATGGCATGGCAATAGAAATCCGTGTAGCTTTGTTGTTCACAACTGCTCGATGTACAACACTTTTGTACCTCCCATTGCTCAGTATCTGCCGCCAATTTCCCAAGGTGTATATGAGTAATTAAAAGAATAAAGTTGATTGGTTATGCTGGGTTGGAACTCAAAATCTCAACATTAAGTCGGGTTTTAACCACTGAATTAGTGGCATGAAGTACACATGAGCAATGGTTAATGTAAAAGTTAGTAGTGTTGCAAACAAACCAAAATGTTCTAGAATTTTAAACTCGATTAGTAATAGAACCGAACTTGAGTAGGCTCAAATTCAATTCAATTAGACTAGTGAACCTGAGGGATATTAATCAATATTTATTTTGCTTCTCTGTTTATGTATGGTGTTTGTGTAAAATTACATATGTAACTGATAAAATTTATTAATAATATGAACATTCATTTATATTTTGACAACACTACAAAACTCAGACTTATGAACTCAGAATTTACTCAAAAAAAAGAATCACTGATTCAAATTCATTTTACTCATGAACCTTACCATTCATCAATTTAATCTCTACTACACAAACACATTTGGGGTAAAGTATAAGTTGACAAGATTGGGTTCATAACATTTTTGTCTATATTTTGTTCACAACTTTGTTTTCCCTCTCTTAATGGACATATTAAATGAGTTTGATTTTTGGTTCGAGCTCAAACTCGGCTCCTTTATGTAATTGAGTTGATTCAAGCTAAGCTCAAATTGCTCAAATACTTGATGAGTAGAGTTTGATCTCGATTCTTCAAGCTCAACAATTTTCAGCAAACCAAACCCAAACACCTTAAAGTTCGGTTTGTTTGAGCTCGATTTGACTCAGCTCATTTATAGCGGGTTGATAATTTAGTAAATGAAACCATAGAAAAGAAAAGAAATTCACCTCAAGGTGATCAGCAGTATTAACGAGGAAGGAGTTGGGAAGTGCCTTGACATTAACCCATTTACCATTGTGATGCAGTTGCAGGCCTCCAATTTCATTCTGGATAAGAATGGTTAGCAGGCCATGATCAGAGTGCGGCAGCAAACCCATTGCGAGTTCTGGCTGTGGACAGGGAGGATAGAGGTTTCCGACGAAGATTTGCAGACCGGATTCTAGATCCATTGCCTTCTCAATATAGCATTCTTCCAATCCCAGGCTTTCTGATATGCCTCTGAGTAACTCCATTGCCACTTTTCGGGTTTGTTTGCTATACTCTCTTAAGAGCTCACTGCAAAAACAATATGAAATTTCATTGTAAAGATCAGTGCCGTATACCAGCTATCAGTAACAAAGGTTGTAATTGGATTAATTACAGTGCATCGTATGTCGATAAGATGATAATACTTGGCCCATCTGGAAGATTCAATGGGATTCTAAGATAAAATGGATGTGCTATTTGAGAAACGTTAGTGACACTGATTAAGAAAATTAGTGACAGTGAGTGATTCGTCCACTTCCTCTCTTTTGTCTCTTTATATTTGTCATTTTGAAAAGTACATGGATTCTCAATGATTTCATCCAAGTTTTGAAAGTCACATGTATGCAGAGAAATAACAGAGAACAGAATTTATAATCAGGGTGTTAAAATGAAACAAGCTACTCGAACTTGATTCCATTACATACACTATAAAATATAAGTTCTTTGAACTCGGCTCATGATTAGATACGCTTTTTAACAACCTACTACTCACCTAATCAACAATCCTTCTCTCACGATCACACTTTTGCAACTCATGACAAACTTAACTCTGGTACCACTTGTCGGACCGAGTTACACCATTCTCTTAAAATCATAATGAGCAGCAAGATTTGTACCTGAAACCTGTAGGTTTGTTGGGAGAGTGAAACTGAGGATGCACAAACACCTTGAGAAAATCCCTCCAGGAGAACACTTTGTCTGCTTTAGAATTGAAGCTGGTGCCGCACCTGATCGGATCCAACACATGTTTCCCTTCAAACTCCCTCTTCTCCTCCTCCCTCAGATCAAAAAACCCGTTACACGCATCAACCATCTCCTTCATCAAGCTCTCCGGCACACCATGGTTAACCACCTGATCAACCAAACACACAAACATGGCATGGAAAATATAAAATGACTATTGAAATCAAACTTGTGTACCTGACTTGACCGTATATTGGTTACCATGAAGAAGCCCCACTCCTGGCAAGCTTTGCCGAGGTCTTGGATGACTTGGGACCGTTGATCAGGATCACTGGAGGTGAGGGAGGAAAAATCAATGATGGGAATTGAATCTTCTGGTTCTGACGCTGCAGATTCATGAGGATTTGTGGTGTAGGTGTAGTTTGGAGGGATGCAAGTGAGGCCAGGTGATTCTGCCAGTGTTTTGATGCTTGTTGACTTTGGTGCGTGAAGGTGAGTTTCAGGGGAGGAGTGGACACAGAGTGGAGTTGCAGCGGCCATTTTTTTTTTTTGTTTTGTTTATTTTTTTTGGAGAGAGAGATAGAGATGAAAGCCATAGAACCTTATCCACGGCCTTAGTGTGTTTTCTAGAGCCATCCATGACCGTCTATGAAGTACGGATATTTTGAAAAATATGCCGTGTCTGTATTGGGTATTTATTGACGTATCATATTTTGTATAATAATTTTATATACGTATTGAATATACGAAATATGTATTTAAATTTTTTTTTTTTAATTTTTAATATACCTAAACGTACCTACTATATACTCAAGCCGTATTATATTCTCAATTAAAACAATATTTTCTTCTATTATAGAGATAAAACTCTTTTCATTACACTTCTTTTTTTATTTTTAGTTTTATACCTAGTATGATTTTAAAATTAAATTATGATTTGTAAATTATTTAATATATTGACATTAAATTTTGATTTATATCTTTACTTTTGACATTAAATGTTAATTATAGGCTAGATCTTATTTAATTAATTTTTACATTACTCTAAATTAAAAATATCTATTTTTTTACAAGCATATTAAGCCGTACTAGTACCTTATTTTTTTTAAATTTTATCATATCAACATATCCGTATTATACGAATACCCGTACTTGCACCAGTACCCGTCCCTGATAGATGACTGTTGTTGTATTGTGATAAGGTAAGGATTTAAATAATCAATAGTTGGATGTTAACATTGCCAAATATATTTGCCCAGACAACAAGGCTTGAGAATGACATATATTACATACTTCTGCTTAGCTGACTATTCCTCAAATTTTGAAAATAAAAAAAATAAAAAATTGTAAAGCAAACTACTTTGGAAAAAAATTGTAATCGAAAGACCTTTCTTGCTTCGACGGAGTATGTATGAAACCAAGATTGGAAATATAACAAATGGCCAACCAGCAGTTTCTAGAAAGCTCGATAGCCAAATTCGCTTTTCGCCTTTCAGAAAGCACAACCGCAACAAAATTGGACCACCGGAGTTGCCTAGGGCTAACAATGTGCAGTTCATAAAGAGTAGGGCTTTCTTCATGGTCTTGCTCATATTCTCTTCCAAGAATGGTAGTCAGTTGTTTATAATTTGAGTCTCCATTTTTTATTTGTCGGACTAATTTATGTCCTATTGCTAGAACTGCATTTCACAACAGATGGAGTTACTTGACAATAATGCTTTGGAGGCATATTCAACTTCACATGAAATGTTGAATAAAGTAGCATTTGAAAGCACAAATATATATGACAGATAGATAGACATAATCAGTAAATGCTATCAAATTCTAAGCACAATAAAAGGAACTGAATTTGCACCCGAAGGACGTCTACAACTCCTACCTAGGACATATTTATTTATTTATTTATTTTTAGAACCGATCAATTAATTCCTATCTCTAATTGAATGTCCCAATAAATTACAACAAACAAAACAAAAAACTCAACCCCATCCTGATTATTTCTTCCATTTCCAATTATTTGGGATTTGGGGTGCCTGCTGTGCACCCATGCACAGCAGGCACGGCTGTGCCTCTGATAGCCTCTGATTTGGAATGAGTTATATATAACTTAGTGATATTATGCTGAAATATGGCTGATGAAATGTTGAAATATGGCCTGCTGTGCATGGGTGCACAGCAGGCACCCCGAATCCTTGCAGTTGCATGCAAGTTGTGGGCATAGCATGGTAGGTATTTAGGCATCACATTAAAACTTTGTGGATCATGAATTGAGTTCTTTTATAGCATAAATCATTGTTCTTTTCTGTAGCACTACCTAGATAAAGTCATTTTTGTAAGTTTAATGAGCGATTTTGTTTTAATTATCAGTTTTATCATTTTGGAGATGCCTCTGTTTTACTTGACAAAATGGGATGAAAATTAAAAAGAATATCTTCATGAATTACATAGGATTTAAGAGCAGATGAGGTAAAAAAAAATAATACCAATATTGCAAAATGAAGACATCATATTTACAAATAAAAAAAAAAAAAAAATCATCATCATTGATTAAATGGGTTTAGGAAGTATTATGAGGAACAAAAAGGTCTTATTAAATGTACAATTGATAAAAAAAAAAAAAAAAGATGAAAAAAGAGGGACCTTCTTAGATATTATGCAGAACAAGAAGATCATTCTTGTAACTCAAAATTTTCACAAAATTTTACCAAACCTAAGTTTCACCATCCCAACAAACAATTGGTGTGCATGGGTACTATTTGTTGGGTATAATAGCAATAGTCATAAGCAAATCAACAAACGAAGGTGTGACAAAAGTTGAGACAGAGTTGAGAGGATGTTATTGAAAGAGAATTATCTGTTGTTTACACTCTGTACAAAAACCAACAATAGAGGCTCCATAATATAGGAGCCGGATATCATTATGATGTAATTCACTAAAATAAGGAAAAGTAGCCGAAAGGAGGTGGGCGGCCGAAAGCTATATGAATAATATATTCAGCCGAAAGCTATATTAATACTATATGCCTATTATATACAAATCAGCCGAAAGCTATACTAATACTATATTCCTATTATACTATAGTAGCATATTATATTAATAATAATATTAATATGTTAATATGTTAACAGCCCCCCGCAAACTCAAGGAGGACAAACATCAACCAACTGGAGTTTGGAGACAAGTTCAATGAAGCGGCCAGGAGAATGAGCTTTGGTGAAGATATCAGCAGGTTGATCAGCAGAGAAGATTGGACGGAGATGGACAGTACCACGAGTGACGTGTTGACGAATAAAATGACAGTCAATCTCAATGTGCTTGGTGCGATCATGAAAAACATCATTGTGAGCTATTTAAAGAGCACTTTGATTGTCACAAAAGAGGGCAGTAGCGCCAGAGGGAGAAACACCCATGTCAGCAAGAAGCCAACGAAGCCAGAGAAGCTCCTGAGTAGTATCAGCAAGAGCACGATATTCAGTCTCGGTACTGGAGCGAGCAGTAAGAGATTGTTTCTTGCCGCGCTAAGAAATAAGAGAATCACCCAAGAAAAAACAGAACCCGGTAGTAGAGCGCCGGTCAGTAGGATCCCCAGCCCAATCAGCATCGGAAAAAGCACGAAGCTGGAGAGAGGAGCGGGCAGAATAATGAAGTCCATGAAACAAGGTACATTTGAGATAACGAAGGATACGGACTAATGCAGCATAGTGAGAAGTACGAGGAGCTGACATAAACTGGCTGACAATATGAACGGCATAGGCAATATCAGGACGAGTAACAGTGAGATAGACAAGGCTGCCAACCAGCTGACGATATAGGGTAGCATCAGAGAGAAGAGTGCCATCAAGAGGTGTAAGACGACTTTGAGGCTCCAGGGGAGTGGAGGCAGTCTTGCAATCCGTAAGACCAGCGCGGGTGAGAAAATCAGAGGTGTACTTAGCCTGAGAGAGAAAAGACCCCGTGGAATCATGGAAGATTTCAAGACCCAAGAAATAGCTGAGAGGACCAAGATCTTTCATCTCGAAATGATGGCTAAGAAACTGTTTAAGGCATAGAATACCATCAAGATCGTCACCGGTGATAATCATATCATCCACATAAAGAAGAAGCAAGGTGGTCCCTTGGGCAGTGTTCCGGATAAAAAGAGCAGTATCATAAGAACTGGAGGTGAAACCACAGTCATGAATAGTAGAGCTGAACTTGGCAAACCAAGCGCGCGGAGCTTGTTTGAGACCATATAAAGCACGTTGAAGTTTGCAGACTTTATGAGGTGGATAAGTAGACCCAGGGGGAGGTTGCATGTAGACCTCCTCAAGAAGAACACCATTAAGGAAAGCATTTTTCACATCCATTTGATAAAGATCCCAGTGTCGAGTGGTAGCAACCGCAATCAGGCTGCGAACAGAGGTGAGACGAGCAACAGGAGCAAAGGTCTCCTCATAGTCAATACCATATTCTTGGTTGAAGCCTTTGGCAACAAAGCGGGCTTTGTAGCGCTCAATAGATCCATCAGAACAGGTTTTGATTTTGTAGACCCATTTGCAACCAATGGCAGTCTTGCCAGGAGGAAGATCAACAATGTCCCAAGTGTGAGTTTTGTCTAAAGCCTGCAATTCATCAGTCATAGCTTGCTGCCAAAGAGGATTAGAGCGAGCCTCACGATAGGAGGTCGGTTCATAAGTAGAAAAGGCAGTAGAACCAACAATAAAGTCACGAAGACGAGTAGAAGGTTGGGTTACCCGGTGTGGTCGAGTAGAGGCAGGAGGAGCCACAGGGAGAGACTCACCAGGAGCGGAGGATCCCGAGGGAGCAAGAGCAGGACCATCAGAGGGAGCAAGGGCATGGGACAGACCAGTAGGCAAGGCAGGCTCGAGAGAGGCTGGTAGGGGCGGTGGAGTAAGCTCATCGGAGAACTCGAGAGAGGCTGGCTCAGAAAAAAACAGAGAGGATGAGGGAACGGACAAACGGAAGAGAGAGAGAGAGGAAACCATTTTGTGTTCCCAAAAGACTACATGACGAGAGATACGAAGTCGTTGGGAGAGAGGATCCCAACAACGATACCCCTTGTGTTCAATACCATACCCTAAGAAGCAACAAAGGCGAGAACGTGGTTCAAGTTTGGTACGTTCATGAGGTTGGAGAAGAACAAAACAGGCAGATCCAAATACCCTAAGGTTGTTGTAAGAGGGACGGGTGCCATGCAGACGCTCATAAGGAGTGTGATTATGAATGACAGGTGTAGGGATACAATTGACAGTGTAAGCAGCAGTGAGAGCTGCCTCTCCCCAAAAATGTTCCGGACAAGAGGAAGACAGAAGGAGAGCTCGAGTAGTGTCAAGGATATGTCGATGTTTCCGTTCAGCACGTCCATTTTGTTGAGACGTACCGGGACAGGAACGATGAGGTTGAGTACCATGACGCTGAAGAAAGGAAAGAAAGTCAAAATCTTTATATTCCATGGCATTGTCGGAGCGAAAAAGCTTAATATTTTTAGAAAATTGTGTTTTAACCATTGCAGCAAAATTGTAATAAAGTTGTTTGAGCTTAGAGCGCTTTTTCATAAGAAACAACCATGTAAAACGGGAAAAATCATCTATAAAAACAAC